GGATAATGACTTGATATTGAGGGAGGTTGGGTGCATTACAGGTAGTAGGAGTTTGTTTTTTTCGAATAAGGGTTCCAAACTGCCACTAAAAGTATTTAAAAGTTGTTAGATTATTTAACTATTAAAATATAAATTACAGACTTGCTTCATACCTCCTGGTACCCCGATTCCTGTTGCCACAATCTAGCCGTCATAGATCTATGATATTGCCCAAGATCATTTTTTCTATTTCTTTTTTTGTGTAATTTAATTCCAAGTACATATCGTATGTAAATTTGATTCATCCATAGTTGGCACTTGTCATTCCATTCTTTAGTGGATTGACTGTTGCCTACTTCACAAACGATTCGCGCATGTGGCCAACCCTATGTTGAAAATATTAACTTTAGAAAATCAAACGACAAATATGTTCATGCGTAAAAAATAAAAATACATTTCTGTTTCCTGGAGGAGGGCCTGGATATGGAATACGAGGCTGTTGGACATGACTTGGATTTGGATATACCGTAACATCCGATGCAATTAATTGGCCGTTTCCAGATGGACTAAAATGAACTGAGGAAAGAGATTAATATTAAAGGACAATTATGGATCAAAAGTCAAACAAGTTAAAAGAATTCACTTACATCCATCAATACCAACGACTATTGGGGGGTCTACAACAACATTATTATTTGGAAAATTGAAGTATCGTTGCAACAACGAAGCAACTAAATCATGTTCGGGATTGCTCATGTCAATTATAAATACGTCGCCGTTATCTCTTCGTTGATATTTATATCCAGAAGACTCTTGACGTTCAAGGAATTCATTATATTCTTTTATCGTTATATTTGAGCCGATTTTATAAGGTAAACTGAAAATTCATACAAGTAAACACTAGCAGATATTGAAGTATTTTAAGTGTTTTACATTTGATGCTCACTTACCTATCCTCGTTTAACGGCTGATCCGGAAAATGAGGACTGTTTGGAAGTAATTTGTTTAGAACTTTCTTCATTAC